AAAAAATCTCAGTCAGCGGGATGAATCGTAGGGCTGCTGCTATACTTGATCATAAAAACCTGAATTGTATTATTTATACTGACGGCTCAGTAATGCCTGATGGCAGGGCTGGTTTCGGGATTTTTTCCCCTACACATAATATTAAAGCATCTGTTCCCTGCCCTCGCTCCCGGGTTATAATGCATGTGGAAGCGGAGGCCATAATATATGCAATTGACCTTGCAATTGAACTGCGTTCGAACAAAGTTGGCATATTGTCCGACTCCAGGAGTATCATATCCAATGTTTCCAACCTCAATATTTCAAAAAGGACTATCTTTGTCATAAAATCAGAGACAAGTTAATATCTGCTTCTCAATCGGACATTCATATAACACTAATTTGGATACCTGGACACCGTGGTTTCATAGGCAATGAGACTGCTGATCAACTTGCGAAATCAGCAGCTCTCTCCTCACAGGACACATGTCACTCTAACATATATTGCGGGGATCTTATTGCTAATATTAAACATGATTTTCAAAAACTGGCTCATGCATACTTGAGGAGAAATTTAAATATAAAGGGCGGAGATACCGGAAAAACATCCCGAACCTATCGAATTCCCCGTGGTATAAACAATATAAATTTTCTAAGAGAGACGCAATTTCTTTAATTGCTAGAATTAAATCCTACCATGTATCTACCAGCACACACTTGATAGATAAAAATATTATTAATGATGAAACATGTGTATGCGGGGTCAGTCCAAGGAACTGGCAATATATTTTAATTGCAACAGATACACACAAGCGTCCAACAATTTAATAATCAACCTCATTAAAATGGAATTTTCTCCGTGGGACGATATTTTCCCTAGAGCTTTTACTCAAGATATTAACATATTTACAACTATAGCAAAGTTTCTGTGAAACAAACAAATCAAATAATTTAAATGGATATACAACATACGATGGCAGCACCTGTCTGAGTAATGGCGTTGGGGCATGAGTCACTGATACGCTTCTAGCCAAATATTGAAGGAAGGAAGGAAGAAGAAATTTGAATGACAAATACAATAATTGTTTAGATTATTAATAATTACTTAGTTGAATATTTTGTTCCGCATTATCAGTTTTGTTAAAGTTCTCTGTTCAAAGGAGATGACATCTACGACGAAATGTCAGGTTTCTGTTCAACAATTGCCAAAAAATGATGATATGTATCTTCATGATTTACAATTTTATCAAAATGCTCCATTTGGGGAGATAATGTTAACTGAACTGCAAGAAATATGCGAGAAACGTCTCAAAGGTTAATTTAGCATATACAGTTGTATTTTTACTATAATAATTATATAAGTTACATGGTATAAGTTATATCTATATACATATATAATATTGTATAGTATGATAATACACACATATATATGTACACACACAAGTAATATGTGTCATAATATAATATGAATAAATATAAATTATAATGTGATTAATATGCTTTTATATGTTACAGTTCTTACCTTTGTGGAACGCATACATTTACAAAAGTTATCAATGCCTGTATCAAAGCGTAAAGCTATCTTGGTCGAAGAATTACACAAACAGGGACTGGATGAATTTGCAACATTAATTAATAGTTCTGGATGTAAATCACACACAGATATGGATATATATGCCAGGAGAAGAGATCATATATCTCATGTTACATTAAGATCTGTGGTTGCCTTTGATACACACAAAAAGCGTTGGTTCTTTAAGCAAGAAGCGAGGTTATTTAAGTGGAGATTCTCCTCGTTAGATAATGAAGGGATCAAACGTTTTATGCAAATCTATAATTTTGATTTCGCACCTGTTGGTTGTAGCTTAATTTTGCATATTAAATTTGCTAATTGCCAAATCTGGAATAACAAATTTTCTTTGTTGCTTTCAGATTAGTCAAAATGAGAAACAGATTATCAAGAAACATCTTCAAATATCTTCTTTGAATGTTAGTGATATAGACAGTACACAGTTTTATAAAGTACCCTTTTCCCAAGCAGCCAATTTAATTAAAAAACGCAAGATATTTATTATACAAGGTATAGCTTTTGTACCTGAAAAAGAAATGGGGTTTGTGTTTGTATCACATTTCAAGAGGATCCTCATATCAGCTTTTGAAGTTAGTATAGGTAAATTTGTAAAGTTATTGACAACTACTATTGTTTTCTACACTTCTTATCTTTTAGGGTGCACGCGAAGCTAGAGCTAATTTATATAATGATGAAAGATTTACCCGTATCTTCATTAGTTTAGAGAACAGTATTAATACAGAAAGTACTGTATGGGTACATGATAAAGATATACAGCAGTATGTTTCATTGGATCAATTGGATAAAGTAAATATATATACTATTTGTGACTTTATCTTCTAAAACATAAAATTAAACAATATTAGAAATATAATTTTTTATAATATATTTTTAAATATAATATAAAAAATATATATACATATTATATAATATAATTATAATACACATTATAATTATATTATAATATAATAGATAATAATAGTATACATAGGATGTCTGATACAATATTCCATACTTTATATATATATATATATATGTGTGTGTGTGTGTGTGTGTGTGTGTGTATATATATATATGTATATATATATATATATATATATATATATATATATATATATATATATATATATATATATATATATATATATATATATATATATATATATATATATATATATATATATATATGTGTGTGTGTGTGTGTGTGTGTGTGTGTGTGTGTACATATATATATATACACACACACAGGGTGCGGCAAAAGTATCGGACCGGTAAAATATCTCGAAAAATATAAGTTTTACAGAAAATTGCTTTAGATAAAAGCTATAAGTCTTAGGAAAATCTATTTACTGATTTTAACAGTTTGACCTTGGGTGACATTTCGAGCTCAGATCGAGGTTAACATTGCTTTTTTAAATAGA